TTTTGCTAGTAATAAATGAAACTTAATCTATACTATATAATTCATGATCATAGCTGTATTTTTTATATTCACCAAAAATAAAAATTTTAAAGTTTGTGCTCTGATTTAAGGGAATTTTGAAATGCATGAAGCATAAAAGGCTTGTGCATTTTCTTACCTTTGTGCCCCCACCCACCCCCCTCAAGTAGAATCATGCAATCTCCTCAATGCACTTTGAAAGAAAGAGGAATAGAATAAGGGGTGAAGGATACAAAACCCATAATGATGGTTAAGGAAGATACACTTCAGTTTAACATAGCTACATCTGCAAAAGAAAGAAGTGAAAAGAAGCTCAAGAAATGCTACATAAGAAAAAGGAAAAGAGGAAAGAAAATATTCAAAGTAAAAGAAGAATTTTTTGTTGTGACAGTCAACAGCTACTGCTAAGATGAGAAGGCTGGAAAAGACTCATGGAGATCACAACTACTGGCTGGTCATGCTCAAAATATGGTTTAAGATGCTGGCCATTAACCTTGAAGGTTCTCCCTATTTTAAGATTTAAAATTAAAAACAGCTCTAAAATTAGAGATCTACACAATAATGTAGGGACCATCTCAATAATATTTGAGTTTTCCAAAGAATAATTTTAATTCTGAGTTATATAGCTAAACTTTTTAATTTTTACAAAATGATTTACAACTTTAGTTCTTGTCATGAAAAGCTTTGAATTTGACTTTGTAAATACAAGAATTCTCATAGGCTTCATTGCGTTGTTTTTGAAGTTCCTATATTTGAAGCAGACGATGTTTTTTGAATGACCTAAAGACAAAATAAGTTGCTTAATAGTCTAATGAGCATGAGCTCAAGTTCAACTAGTTAGATGACAAGATTTACCATAAATAAGACAATAAGGAGACATGCCAATAGGGTTTTTATAAGTTGTTCTATAGGCTCACAATGCATTGAGTAATTTTACTATCAAATCCTTACCATCATACTGAACAATCTTTTTCAAGAAAAAAATAATCTCCTTATTGTTGAGTTCTACTTGACCATTAGCTTGGGGATGATATGGGGTCATGATCCTAAGTTGGACACTATACTTCTTAAGAAAACTCCTAAAATGACTATTGTTAAAGTGAGATCTCCGATCTTTAATGATGGCATGAGGACAGCCAAATCGAGAGAGTATATTCTGAACAATAAATTTCAATATAATTTTGTGGTCATTTGTTCTTGTGGGTATAACTTCTACCCATTTTGAAATATAGTCCCCAGTCAAAATAATATATTCATAACCTATAGAAGGTGGAAAAAAACCCATAAAATTATTTTCTCATAAATCAAATTTTTTCGACCTCTAGAATTGGTTGGAGTGACTTTGGGTCTCTCTTAGAGATGTTCACAATAGCTTGACATATTGTACATGACTTGTAAAAGTTATGAGCATCTCGAAAAATAGTTGCCCAACATATAAACCCCTTTGAAAATGTTTTGCAGTAGTCTTTTTAGAGACAAAATGTCCCCCACATGTAGAAGAATGGCACATAGTTAAAATATTAAATTGCTCATCCTTTGAGACACATATGCCAAGGATTTGATTAACTCTTAAGTGAAATAATTCTGATTCTTCCAAAAAGGAACACTTCAGCTCACTAAAAAAACTTTATTTAATATTTCTAGGCTAGTTAGGTGGTAATTGCCATGTTACATTAATAGTAAGTAAATGCTCATCAGGAAAAACACCTAAAATTAGTAGATTATTATGCATACATAATTGAGACAAGTGATCAGCCACAAAATTTTCTCTTCCCTTTTTATCTTTGACATCTAGATCAAACTCATGCAACAATAAAATCCATCTGATCAATCTAGGTTTGCCTTTTTTTTGTCAATAAAAATTTAATGGTGGAGTAATCAATATAAATTGTAACCTTGCTACCTAAAATATAAGACCAATTTTTTTTAAAAGTGAAAATAATAGCTAATTGTTTTTCAGTAGTAGTGTAATTTAATTGAGAGTCATCAAGAGTTTTACTAGCGTAATAGATGGCGACTGATTTCTTGTCAATTAATTGGCTCAATACAGCTCCTACTGTAAAATTAGAAGCATCAAGCATTAACTTAAAAGGATGGGTCTAGTTAGGACCTTGGATGATAGAAACGTTGATAAGAGCTTGCTTAGTTATGAGGAAGGATGATTTCCCTACAGCGTCTATCACAAAATTTTGCTCCTTAGCTAGGAGTTTGGTTAGTGGTTTAGTAAGATTGACAAAGCCTTTGATAACACATGAATAATGTGTTGGAATACACTTCAACTTAGTTAATTTTACATTTCTATGATATAATTAGTGTGCTGTTCACATCAATCTTTATGATTTTTAATATATTTCAAGGTATATTAATATTTTAAATATTTTTTAGAATTTTATGAGATTAATCTCCTCTTACACATTTGGGTGGCTTATTAACATGATTGTTATAGACATTGAATATGATTTTTTGATTTTCCTAATTATTTTCTAGTGATTTCAAGAATTTATCCCTCAAGTCATGGGCACTTCATCAACAGCTGCAATGCAGCAGCCTAACCATCAGTCACGGAAGTGAGGAGGCAGCCTTCTGGTAGGAAAAGGATCCAATGGCTTAGGATAGAGCACACAAGAAGGAAGTCCATCAATCTAATGGAGTGTGGCCTTGTGGGGGATGAAGCCACTAGAACCTTTGGGCAATTTCTCTTGCACAAGCGAGAGGTGAGCAAGAGAGGAGAGAGATGGAACACCACCCTATATTTTTAGGGAAAACTCATGTCATGAACAACTTTTTGACTATGGAAACTTTTGATGATTCAGCCAGCCTAGAGGGTTTAGGATTTTCTTTGCTCCACATCATGTGAATGTAGGTGTGTCAATCTAGAGCGCTCCTCATCTTGCTTGAATGAGGCCTCTCCCACTACTTTGAGTGAACGCCTCTTCCTAGCAGAAGGATGAAATAACGGTGACACTAGGTTAGCTTTGAGATAAGAAAAGTCCCATTTATTTTATGTTAGATTTTACTTAGAAATTTAGAAGTAGAAGTCATGAACACTTGATTGTCATTTTTATGCTTGTCAGGTCTAAGAAATCAGATCTGGATTCATCACTCCCCTTTTTCTCTCTTTTCAATCTAGGATTGCTCATTTCTATCTACAAGTATTTTATGAATCAAATTAAAAAATAATTCATAATATTTTGATTGAGGAGATTGAGAACTAACAATACTTGTAGCTAATCAAACTCATCAAATGGCACCATTGCCGAGGAATTTTGAGAACTAAATGATTTTAAGTATGCTGTTTTTAATGAATATGTTTTTAACTTTTTGAGTTTTATGTGTAGAAGACAAGGTGATGTGGATACTAGTTAATTACTTAGAGAGATTTTAAAGAACAAGGTAAGTAAGCCTTGAGGAATTTTTTTGCAGACATATTGAGCAAATTTTATACGAACTTAAGAGAAATTGACTTGAACAATATCTATTGAATCATGTCATTTAGCTTTCTTTGTTGAATGTGGCAGGCTTATTTGAGAAAAATCAACCTCAAGATAATAGTTTCTCTTTAAGAGCATTTAAAAGTTTTCATACAGTTTTTTTAATACAATAAATTGAATATATTTGAAATTTTAATTTTTTGTTTATTTTTATAAAAAGTGAATTTCTCAAAATAGTTACTACATGTGCTTAAAAATATTTGAAGTCTAACTTGTAAGACTGATTAAGCATATTAATCTACGAACATATTTGAAATTAATTGCCTAACCTCTATTTTGTTCTGCCACTTATATTAACAGTCACATGATTAGGTATTGTGAGAATGTGAGGCAAGGGAAACCTTAGGTTGAAAAAATTAGGCTCAAAACAAGTAGAAATCTCAAAATTCGACTTTAAATTTTGACCTGTTTTTTTGCATTACATGATTTTTCCGAAAAATTGATCAATCATAATTGTTGCATAATGTGAATAATTGGCTAAAATTATGACTATTAGTTTTGGTGGCTAAAATTTTTCTATTGGTGATTCTGTTTTAAAGAACTGGTAAGTTTCAATTTTTTTCTAAATAATCAAAGAGGGCATCTTGAAAATAAGAACATAAATTGTTATTACATGCTAGCCAGTTCTTGCACATGATCAATATACATGAAAATTGCCTATTATGTCTCAGCTCATATTCCTTGTAAAGATTAAATCTATCTTCTAAAAATATTTAATTTTGAATATTTTCATGTCATTTTATTCATTGTGATCATCGAGAATTTTATAGGACTATCATAGTGATAGGTAGATAGATTAGAATGAATTAACAAAACTAGAAGTAAGCGAATGCAAGGATGTAGATCCCAGTAGAGCATAGTCACCAAACTAGAAAAAGAGTTATAAGAAACATCACAAGTAAAAGTGACCTTGAAAAAATAAATAAAAAGAAAGCGAACCAAAGGGAAAAGAAGAATCCATCTTAGAGATCACTCATCTCCCTAGATGAATCTTAGCAGAATCTCACCAGTGAATAGAATCAATGCTCCTATGGAGAATTATGTCAACTTTAGAGTTGATCATCACCTTATCCAAATGTTACCACATTTTCATGGGATGGTTCATGCGGAGCCATGTAAGCATTTAGAAGATTTCTCACAAGTTTATAAGATTTCACATTATCCCAATATTCCCATTGAGATAGTGAAGATGAGATTGTTGCCCTTCACTCTCAAAGGTAAAGCTAAGGACTAACTTCATGCCTTGGTCCAAGAGTTAAATTTGTGGCTTCACATGGAGGTAACAATGCATGCAAAATATCTTAGTATGCGCATATAGTTAATTATTTGGTAACAAGGTAATTGCCTCCTAATTGACCTACAAGTATTAAATGAAATGTTTTTAGTGAGCTGAAGTATTACTTTTGGGAAGAACCACACTTATTTCGCCTAAGAGCTTATCAAATCCTCTGCATATGTGTCCAAAAGGAGGAGCAATTTAACATTTTAACTATGTGCTATTCTTCTAAATGTGGGGGACATTTTGCCTCTAAAAAGATTACTACAATAAAAAAAAAAGAGAGGCTTTTATTGGTCAATTATTTTTTGAGATGCTTATAATTTATGTAGGTCATGTACAACATGTCAAGCTGCTATGGACATCTTTAAGAAAGATGCAATGCTACTTCAGCCAATTCTAGAAGTAGAAATTTTTGATTAATGAGAAATTGATTTTATGGGTCTGTTTTCTCATTCTACGGATTATGAATACATTCCTTTGACTATGGACTGTGTTTCAAAATGAGTAGAAGCCATACCCACTAGAACAAATGACCACAAGATTATTCTGAAATTTATTATTCAGAATATAATCTCCCGATTAGTTGTCCTCATGCCATCATTAGCGATGGGGGGTTTCACTTTAATAATAGTCATTTTAGGAATTTACTTAAAAAGTATGGTGTCCAACATAGGATCACTACCCCATATCACCGCCAAGTAAATGACCAAGTAGAACTCATCAATAAGGAGATTTTTTGTTTTTTTTAAAGATTTTAAAGATTAGGCAATAAAATTACTTGATGCATTGTGGGCCTATATAACAGTTTATAAAAACCCTATTGGCATGTCTCTTTATTGTCTTATTTATAGTAAATCTTGCCATCTACCAGTTGAACTTGAACAATGTGCTTATTGGGCTATCAAATAACTTAATTTGTCTTTAGACAATGTAGGGAAACATTGTTTTCTTAAAATGCAAGAACTTTAAGAGCTACGCAATGAAGCCTATAAGAATTCTCACATTTACAAAGCCAAACTCAAAGCTTTTCATGAAAAGAACTTAAGTCATAAATCATTTTGTGAAAATTAAAAGGTTTGGTTATATAACTCACGATTAAAATTATTCTTCAGTAAACTCAAATCTCTTTGAAATTGCCCCTAAATTATTGTGCAGATCTCTAATTATGGAGCTATTTTAATTTCAGATTCTAAAATAGGGAGAACCTTCAAAGTTAATGGCCAGCATCTTAAATCATACCTTGAGCACAACTTGTCAGAAGTTGTGATCTCCATGAGTCTTTCTCAGCCTTCCATTTTAGCAACAGCTGCTGACTATTGTAGCACAAATTTCGTGTTTTATTTTGATTGTTTCTTTCTATTTTTCCTTTTTCTTATGTAGCATTTGCTAAGCTGTTTTCTTTTTACTTCTTTCTTTTACAAATGTCACTATAGTAAGCTAATGTGTATCTTCCTCAACCATCAATATGGGTTTTGTATCTTTCACCCCTCATTTTATTTCTCTTTCTTTCAAAATGCATTGAGGACACTACATGATTTTGCTTGGGGGAAGGGGGAGGTCACAATGCTAAAAGTAAGAAAATGTACGAGTTTATCATGTTTAATATATTTCAAAACTCCCTTAAATTAGAGCACAACTTTGAATTTTGTATTTTGGTAGATAGAAAAAATACTGCCATGATCATGAATTATCATATGGATCAAATTTCATTGATTACTAGCAAAATTTCATGTTGACATATCTCTATATTAGATTTAACATAATAAATTGTATCCTTTCTTACCAAACCAAAACATAGTTAAACTACATTAGAGCTAGTTAAAGTATCTTTGAATCATTAGTTATTGCTGCATCAAAATGTAAAGTTTGACTATAGTGAAGACTAGACCAGCTAAAAAAAACAAAGATAAAGAAAAATTGCCACAACAAGAAAGTAGATAAATACTATTCAAGTAAGAAAAAAGCTGATTGCCACATTAATGAAAGCACCTTTACTGATTCCGTGGGGCTTCCACATGTGAGATTAGAATCAGCAAGGCTTGCAAAATACTTACATGTTCCTCAACCATGTAGAGTGAAGCCCGAAAATATGCACAACAAAGAGGGCTTTCTCAATTGTCCTGTGGAAATTCCACGTGAGGCTAGGACAAAAAGAAAAAAGTCATGGAAAAGCTACCTACATGAGATAAAAAAATAGAAAAGCAAGCTGGTAGAATTGAAGCTACAAGTCAAACTTTTGTGCATTTAAGCCAAGCATGACAAAGATTCAAAGAACAAAAGCTGGTCTTGAGACAAAATAAATTAGTGAGAAATGGACGTATGAAAATTCTAATCTCTGTCTAATGAAGACTTAGAGATGTCTAAATATGAAATGAGTTAGTTTTTCATTGAGTTTTTCTGAAGTACATGTTCATGATTATGTAGGTAATGATGAAGATGAACACAACAAAATCATAGCAACACAATCATTTTTAATCTATTGTTAAGGGACTAGTAATCAGAAAAATTAAGAAGTGTGATAACGCATAAATAATGTGTTGGAATATACCTTAACTTAGTTAATTTTATTTTTCTATAATATTATTAATATATTGTTCACATTGATTGTTATGATTTGTAACATATTTTAAGGTGTTGACAAGAGGAAGAGAAAACTCTAGAATTGATGTATTGAAGAAGAAGAGTACATGAGGTTATATAAAATAAGGAAAGAAGGAGAGAGAAGGAGAAGTGGAGATTGTGGAAGAAGAATAGAAACATTAAGAGAATAAGTTTAAAATAGATTTAGTGGGCCCAATTGGCCTATTTTAACACTCTCTCTCAAGTTGGAGCATACAAGTCAAATATGCCTATTTTGGTACACATCACGTCATAAGAGATCTTCATAAGACTTTTGGTGAAGATGTTTGTGAGCTGATGAAATGAGACAACGTGCAAAGTAAAGATAACACATGGCATTACCTTATCTTGAATGCTATGACAATTAATCTCGATGTGTTTCATCTACTCATGAAACTTAGGATTCCTAATAATGAAGATGACAGTTTGATTATCACAATACATAGATATTGACGTAAGAGATGGGATGCCAAGTTCTTCAAAGAGTGAATTTAGCTACATCATCTCTCACATCATCTCAGTTATGACACAATACTCAAACTCAACACTAGAGCAAGATACTACCTTCTACTTTTTGTAGCATCACATGATAAGATTGCTACTCACGTATGTGTAATAACTAGTGATAGACTTACAATCTCTCTTGTCACTAGTATATCCTACATTCTAGAAGGTTTCAATCTGAAGATGTCTATATCTTTGATAGATAAGTCCTCTCCCAAGAGCTCTTTTGATATATACTAGAATCTATAAAGCTCCCTCTTAGTGAATTTGTTGAGGTTTGATAAGTCTTCATTATCATGAGTTAATAATTAGTAAATAATATAGTTTTAGTCTTAACTCATGATAAATATACTTATATTTGTGTTAAATTATGAAAAGTATTTTTCCAATTGATTAATGTAAATTTTTGACTCACTATGTGATTTTCTATAAATTTATATAACTTTTATAGTCTTATTTTTGAGATAAATAAAGAAAAAGAAATAAAAATAAAAATATAACAAAAATGAGGGACTCATCAGCCAATGGGGCCTACAAGTGGTCAGAAGCACAATCAGGGGGAGCCACAATTAGGGGCTCGAGCGACTAGAATCGATAGGGGCATGTGTGCGCCACTCTCCTTCTACGTCACTGTGGCTAATTGGCTATGGGATAAGGAGTGGTCGTACATATGGTAGAAAAGAGCTCATTACTTGTAAATATGATATTATTATATATTCACTTAAAACTTTGGCACGCAAGTGATGTGGGACTAAATCAATATCATACCTTCTCCCCAAAGACTTCAAAGATTTTTAATACATAAAATACCTTTTAGTTATAACATAGATATACCATGATGAAGTCACTTGATAAGGGTATTAGAGTACTTATTTTAATCTCTCTCATATAGGTAGACAACCGACATAAGTTCAAATCCTCCCAAAGTTAAAACTCATATTTTTATTTGATTATCGTGACTTTCCTACAGATCGTCGATAAAGAATCAAACCGTCAAAATCACTAGACCATCAACGAAAATCTCATCAACGTGACTCGCAAAACATTGTTACCAAAATTGCCGAATTATTCGCAATAAAAGGATTGCAAATCTATCAAGTAAATCATCTCCGATTGATCGACGAATAAGCCATCGTCAAGAAAAAGACGATCCGCCAGGAGATGAGTCGCCACCTCTTGAAAACGTACCGAATGTAATGAAGAGCCTCCTTGACGTGACTCACTCATTATATATAAAATCACGTAAATTTCAAATTTATAAAACTAGAAAATATAATTTTTTAGATATTTAGAAGTATTTCTGAAGAAATATATCAATTATATTTCAATAAAACTTCCAAAAATAGTTGTAATTTTTTAAGTCGATCATAAGGATGTAATATAATATCTGGTAATTATTCAGAATTTTCCTCAAAGAATACTATTTTCTATAAATTTTCTACTAAGAAATAAAAATATAATATATTTAAAATTCACAAAAAAGGAAAATAAGGGTGTAGACATCTGGATGACATCAACACCCAGTGAACGCGAATCGAATAGAAATAGAGTTTCACTTGGCAATTCTTACGTAAGTGATTATAGATGATTTAATTGATCAAATTAAGATCTGTATAAGTTAGAAGAATCATAATTGAATGAAGTATATATTGATAAATTTAAATCACATAAATTATTACTAAATGAAGCAAAAAATAAGTTGAAAGTAGGAAAATAGAGTTCCAATGTCGCGGCAGTGATGCACCAGAATCCTGAACGTTCGGGAGGATCGTCATGTAGTGTCCACAACTTCGAAGGCTCTCCTTGGACAAGGACGACGTTGGCAATCTCTAGATCTCCTTATAAAGTCAGAGATCAAGAAAATGGGTCATCGAATCATCTCCGATAGTTGTCACCCGATGGAGCAAAAAAATGACGACTTTGCGGTTCTCTGGTGGCTGTCACCTGATGGAGAGGAGTTAGATGGAGGTGGGGTGTATGTTAGGGAGCTTCATCCTCAGGTCCACGCAGCAAGAGGAGGCTCTTCATCGCATCCAGTACACTCTCAAGAGGTGGCAACTCATCTCTTGGCGGATTGTCCTCTTCTCGATGACTGCTTGTTCATCGATCAATTAGAGATACTTTACTCGATAGATTTGCAATCTTTTTATCGCGAATCATTTAGCAATTTTAGTAACAATGCTTTGTGAATTGTGTTGATGAGATTTTCACCGATGATCCAGCGATTCTAGTTGCTTAATCCTTTATCAGTGATTTGCAGGAAAGTCACGATAATTAGGTAAAAAATATGAGTTTTGGCTTTGGGAGGATTCAAATCTATGCTGGTTGCCCACCCTTTATGGGGAAGGTGAGGTGGGTTTAGTCTCACATTACTTGTGCACCGAATTAAGGTGAATATATAGTAATATTATATTTACAAGTAAGTCCCTTTCTCGTACGTGTACGACTACTCCTTACCCCACAACCAGCCGGCCACTAGTGACGTGGAAGGGTGGTGGTGCACATGTGCCCTTATCGGTCCAAGCCGCTCGAGCACCTACTTGTAGCTACTCCCCGACTATGCTTCTAACTTACTTGCAGGCCTGGCTGGCTGGCAAATCCCCCTCATTTTATTTTATTTTTATTTTTATTTATTTTTCTTCATTTATCTCAAAAGTAAGACTATAAAATTTATATAAATTTATATAAAATCACATAATTACCTAAAAATTTATGTTAATCAATTGAAAATTACTTTTCACACTTTAACACAAATATAAGTTTATTTATCATGATTTAAGGCTAAAACTATATTATTTACTAATTATTAACTCATGATAATGAAGACTTACATTATTAACTATATTATGTAATGAAGAGCCTCCTCTTGCTACACAGACCTGAGGATGAAATTCTCTAACACACGCCCCACCTCCATCAAACTCCTCTCTGTTGGGTGACAATTGTCGAAGATGATTTGACAACCCATTTGATTGATCTCTAGACTTCATAAAGAGATCTAGAGAATGCCCACGTCATTCTTGTCCAAGAAAAATCTTCAAGGTTGTGGACACTACACGACAATCTTCCTGAATGCTCAAGATTCTAGTGCATCGTCGACGCATCATCACTACGATGCTGGAACTCTATTTTTTTGCTTTCAACTTAATTTTTACCTTAATTTAGTGATAATTTATGTGATTTAAATTTACCAAGTTATAATTCATTCTATCACGATTCTTCTAACTTTTATAGATCTTAATTTGATCACTTAAATCATTTGTAATCACTTATGCATGAATTGTCAAGCAAAACTCTATTTCTACCTGATTGACATTTGTCAAGTGCTGACATCATCTTGACGTCCATACCTTTATTTCCCTTTTTTGTAAATTTTAAATATATTTTATTTTTATATTTAGTATAAAATTCATAATAAATCATATTCTTTGAGACAATTTTTGAATGATTATCAGATATTATATTATATTCCTATGATCGAGTAGAAAATTACTACTATTTTTAGAAGTTTTATTAAATTATAATTGATATATTTATTCATAAATACTTCTAAATATCTAAAAATTAGTATTTTCTAGTTTTATAAATTTTAAATTTGTGTGATTTACTATACAACGACTAAATCATGTCAAGGTTCTTACATGAACTAGTTAAGTACATTAATTGTGTACACAAAGTCAAGACAAGTGATGGTGAGGTAGATCATCTTCCCTAACAATTGTTTATACCTATTAACATCCTCTAAGAGTGAAGATGACATATCCCAGAAGTGCGGACATACCTCTATAGATGACGACTCTAGTTTACACCCAAGTAACTCAATCTCTTAAAATATATTAAGAGCATACCTTCATTAAGAGAGTAAGTTTGTCATCTTGATAGGTGAACTTAATCTCAAAAAGTATTATGAAACCCTCAGATCTCGTATACTGAAATGTTGTTGCAAGTATGATTTAATAGCTTGAATGTATACTTCATCACTTCTTATCACAAGAAAGTCATCCACATAAATAATTAAGATGATAATACCAAATTCAGTAATCTTTGTAAGTATTGTGGCATCTGCAAGACATGGTGAGAATCCCATTACATTAGAAGACCACTAAACTTGATAAATTAGACATGTGAACTTTGCTTAAGTCCGTAAATGGTACATTGTAAAAGATACACCTTCAATGACTCTCCTTGAGTAATATATCTAAGAAGTTGCTCCATAAATACATGCTCTTCAAGGTCACCATAGAGAAAGATGTTAGAAATATCCAACTAATGTAAAGACTATGTCTAATTCACCGCCAAAAAGAGTATCACTTAAATAAATTTGAGCTGAACAACTAGAGAGAACGTCTCAATATAGTTAATGTCATAAGCCTATGTGAACCCACTAGCAATTAAGTGAGTCTTGTGATGTACAATAGATTTATCTAGATTATACTTGAGTGTGAAAATCAACTTGTATGTGACGATATTAGCATCACATGGGCGAGATACAAGTGTCCAAGTTCTCCCAGGTATCAAGGCTTCCACCTCTAAGTTTATGGCCGCCTTCCATTCAAGTACCTATACAACCTCAACATACAATTGTGGAATTGACTTAGAGATTACAAACATAGCAAAAGTACAAAATGAAGGAAAAAGATAGTTGTAGGAACAAAGTAGAAAATGAGATGTTTGGTGCATACACGTGTACCTTTGCAAAGAGCAATAGAAAGATAAAGATCATCCACCTAAGTGTTAGAAAAGATGACTAGAGGAGGCTTGTTGGCAGAGGATGAAGACAAATCTGATCCTAGAGTAAAGAAGTTAAATGACAACAAAGCCAAAAGTGTCAAAGGAAGAATTGATGAGGAAAAAATTAGACAAGTAGAAAGAATAGAAGATGGATTTGTAATAATCACCACAAGAGGAAAACTAAGTAGTGAAGATGTAGGAGTGACATGACTCAGCCATTGTATATTAAATCACACAAATATTAAATTTATAAAACTAAAAATACAAATTTTTGAATATTTAGAAGTATTTCTAAATAAATATATCAATTATAATTCAATAAATCTTCCAAAAATAGCGGTAATTTTCTAAGTCAATTACAGAGATGTAATATAATATCTGGTAATTATTCAGAATTTTTCTCAATGAAAATGATTTTTTATGAATTTTATACTAGGAAATAAAAAGGAAATATATTTAAAATTCACAAAAAAGGGAAATAAGGGTGTGGACTCGAGATGACGTCAATGCCTGGCGAATGCAAATTGAGCAGAAATAGAGTTCTACCTAACGATTCTTACGTAATTGATTACAAATGATTTAATTGATCAAATTAAGATCTGTAAAAACTAGAAGAATCGTAATAGAACAAAATATAGTTTGGTAAATTAAAATCACAAGAACTATCACTAAATGAAGCGTAAATTAAGTTGAAATCAGGAAAATAGAATTTCGGCATCATGATGGTAATGCGTCATCGATACATCGGAATCTTGAGTGTTCGGGAGGATCGTCATGTAGTGTCTATGGCCTCGAAGGCTCTCCTTGGACAAAGATGATGTGGGCAATCTCTAGATCTTCTTGCAAAGTCTAGAGATTAATGAAATAGATTGTCAAATTGTCTCCAGCGGCTGTCACCCGGTGGAGCGGAAAAATAGCGACTTTGTGGCTCTCCGGCGGCTGTCACTTGACAGAGAGGAACTGGATGGAGGTGGGGTGTGTGTCAAGGAGCTTCATCCTCAAGTCCGCGTAGTAAGAGGAGTGACGTGACTTAGTCGTTGTATATTAAATCACACAAATATAAAATTTATAAAACTAGAAAATACGAATTTTCAGATATTTAGAAGTATTTCTAAATAAATATATCAATTATAATTCAATAAAACTTCCAAAAATAGCAATAATTTCCCAGGTCAATCATAGAGATGTAACATAATATTTTGTAATTATTCAGATTTGTTCTCAATGAATACGATTTTCTATGAATTTTATACTAGGAAATGAAAAGGAAATATAATTAAAATTCATGAAAAAAAAAGGAAATAAGGGTGCAGACGTCAGGGTGATGTCAGTGCCTGGCGAACGCGAATCGGGTAGAAATAGAGTTCCGCCCAACGATTCTTACATAAGCGATTATAGACAATTTAATTAATCAAATTAAGATTTGTAAAAGCCAGAAGAATCATAATTGAACAAAGTATAGTTTGGTAAATTAAAATCACACAAAGTATCACTAAATGAAGTGTAAATTAAATTGAAAGCAGGAAAACAGAGTTCCGGCGTCGCAACAGCGATGTGTCGACGATGCATCAGAATCCTGAGCATTTGGGAGGATTGTCGTGTAGTGTCCACGGCCTCGAAGGCTCTCCTTGGACAAAGACGACATGGGCAATCTCTAGATCTTCTCATGAAGTCTAGAGATCAATGAAGTGGGTCATCGAATCATCTTCGACAACTATTAATAAGTCTTCATTATCATGAGTTAATAATTAGTAAATAATATAGTTTTAGCCTTAACTCATGATAAATAGACTTATATTTGTGTTAAAGAATGATTTTTGGTTTTCAATTGATTAACGTGAATTTTTGGGTAATTATGTGATTTTATACAATTTTTACAGTCTTACTTTTGAGATAAATGAAGAACAAGAAATAAAAATAAAAATATTGCAAAAATGAGGGGACCCGCCGGCCAGCCGTGCCCGCGAGCGGGTCGGAAGCATAGTCGGGGAGTAAGCCGCGAGCAGGGGCTCGAGCGGCTTGGCTTTGGGACCGACAGGCACGCGTACGCCACTCCCCTTCCATGTCACCGGTGGCCAGCTGGCTGTGGGGCAAGGAGTGATCGTACACGCGAGAGAAGGGACTTTGCTCACAAAGCTAACATTACTATATATTCGCCCGAAAACTCGGCGTACAACTGATGTGGGACTAAACCCACACCTTCCTCAGAAGAGGCGGGGGCGACTGGCATGGGTTCGAATCCTCTCAGAGTCAAAATTCATATATTTTTATCTAATTATCGCGACTTTCCTGTAGATCGCCGGTGAAGGATTAAGCAACGAGAATCGTTGGATCATCGGTGAAAATCTCGTCAACGCGATTCGCAGAGCATTGCTACTAAAATTGTTGAACGATTCGCGATAAAAGGATCACGAATCCATCGAGTAAATCATCTTCGATTGATCGACGAACAAGCCGTCGTCGAGAAGAGGACGATCCGCCGGGAGATCAGTCGCCACCTCCTGAGAGCGTAGCAGATGTGATGAAGAGCCTCCTCTTGCTGCGCAGACCTAAGGATGAAGCTCCCTAACACGCGCCCCACCTCCATCCAGCTCCTCTCCGTCGGGTGACAACCGCCGGAGAGCCGCAAAGTCGCCGTTTTTTTCTGCTCTGCCGGGTGACAGCCGCCGGAGACAATTCGACGACTCACTTCATTGATCTCTAGACTTCGCGAGAAGATCTAGAGATTGCCCACGTCGTCTTTGTCCAAGGAGAGCCTTCGAGGCCGTGGTCATTGCACGACGATCCTCCCGAACGCTCAGGATTCCGGTGCATCGCCGAAGCATTGCCGCCGCGACGCTGGAACTCTGTTTTCCTGCTTTCAATTTAATTTACGCTTTATTTAGTGATACTTTGTTTGATTTTAATTTACCAAACTATACTTCATTAAATTATGATTCTTCTGGCTTTTACAGATCTCAATTTGATTAATTAAGTCGTCTGTAATCGCTTACGTAAGAATCGTCGGGCGGAACTCTATTTCCGCTTGATTTGCGTTTGCCGGGCGCTGAGGTCATCCTGACGCCCGCACCCTTATTTCCTCTTTTTTTCGTGAATTTTAAATATATTTCCTTTTTATTTCCTAGTATAAAATTCGTAAGAAAATTGTAATCATTGAGAAAAATTCTAAATAACTACCAAATATTATATTACATCCCTGTGATCGACCTGAAAAATTATTGTTCTTTTTGGAATTTTTATTGAATTATAATTGATATATTTATTTAGAAATACTTCTAAATATCCAAAAAATCGTATTTTCTAGTTTTATAAATTTTATATTTGCGTGATTTAACATACAACGACTGAGTCACGTCAGTTGTCACTCGGCAGAGTAGAAAAACGGTGACTTTGCGGCTCTCCAGCAGCTATCACCCGACGGAGAGGAGCTGGATGGAGGTGGGGCACGTGCCAGGGAGCTTCATCCTCAGGTCCACGCAACAAGAGGAGGCTCTTCATCGCATCTGGTGGCGACTCGTCTCCCGGCGGATCATCCTCTTCCCGACAACGGCTTGTTCGTCGATCAATTGGAGATGATTTACTCGATAGATTCGCGATCCTTTTATCGCAAATCATTCAGTAATTTCAGTAGCAATGCTCCGCGAATCATCTTGATGAGATTTTTGCCGATGATCCAACGATTCTCATTACTTAATCCTTCACCAGCGATCTGCAGGAAAGTCGCGATAATCAGATAAAAATATATGAATTTTGACTCTAGAAGGATTCAAACCTGCGCCAGTCGCCTGCCTGTGAGGAAGGTGTGACGCAGGTTTAGTCCCACATCGGTTGTGCGCTGATTTTTCAGGCGAATATATAGTAATGTTAGCTTTGTAAGTAAAGTCCCTTCTCTCGCATGTACGACCACTCCTTGCCCTACAGCCGGCTGGCCACCGGTGACGTGGAAGGGGAGTGACGCGCACATGCCCCTATCAGTCTAAGCTAAGCTGCTTGAGCCCCTACTCGTGGCTACTCCCTAACTGTGCTTCCGACCCACTTGTGGGCCCGGCTGGTCGACAGGTCCCCCCATTTTGCAGTATTTTTTATTTTTATTTCTTGTTCTTCATTTATCTTAAAAGTAAGACTATAAAAATCGTATAAAATCACATAATTACCCAAAAATTCACGTTAATCAACTGAAAACCACAAATCATACCTTAACATAAATATAAGTCTATTTATCATGAGTTAAGGCTAAAACTATATTATTTCCTAACTATTAACTCATGATAATGAAGACTTATCAAGGAGGCTCTTCATCGCATCCGGTACACTCTTAGGAGGTGGCGACTTGTCTCCCGACGGATCGTCTTCTTCCCGACGATGGCCTTTTCATCGATCAATCAGAGATGATTTACTCGATGAATTTGTGATCCTTTTATCATGAATCGTTCAGTAATTTTAGTAGCAATGCTCCGTGAATTACGTTGATGAGATTTTTGTCGATGATCCAACAATTCTCATTGCTTAATCCTTCACTGGTGATCTACAAGAAACTCGTGATAATCAGATAAAAATATATGAATTTTGACTCTAGGAGGATTCAAACCCATGCCGGTCGCCTGCCTCTGAGGAAGGTGTGATGCGAGTTTAGTCCCACATTGGCTGTGCACCGATTTTTCGAACGAATATATAGTAATGTTAGCTTTCTGAGCAAAGTCCCTTCTCTCGCGTGTACGACCACTCCTTGCCCCACAGCCGACTGGCCACCAGTGACGTGAATGAGAGTGGCGCACATGTGCCCCTATCGATTCAAGCTAAGCTGCTCGAGCCCCTGCTCGTGGCTACTCCCCGACTATGCTTCCGACCCCTTTGCGGGCCTGGTTGGCCGACGGTTCCCTCCATTTTGCAATATTTTTATTTTTATTTTTTGTTCTTCATTTATCTCAAAAGTAAGATTGTAAAAATCGTATAAAATCACATAATTACTCAAAAATTCACGTTAATCAACTGAAAACCACAAATCATACTTTAACACAAATATAAGTCTATTTGTCATGAGTTAAGGCTAAAACTATATTATTTACTAATTATTAACTCATGATAATGAAGACTTATCACACCCCCCAACTTAAATCATTGCTAGTCCCTTAGCAATGGAATTACGAAAATAAAATTTTACAAATCTTAAACATCATATTTCAATACAAAAAAAAAATTACAATTAGAAATGATGCACCTTTAAACACTTTAGATTCTTATATCAAGTATTTAAGAATGATGTCAAGCACTTAAATGTTTAAACACTCCTTGGAATAACAATCTAGACTTCACTTCTTCTATTCACATCTTTATCACTTCTTCACTGATAGATGTATTTACAAGATGTTCCAATTATCAATACTCATCCAAGAATGATATTGATTCTACATTTTCCTTTTTCTATGACTTGATTTTTGAAGTTTGCACTAAATTTTTTCCTTCTTTTTTTCTTTTTTTTCTTTTTTTTATATAGTGGATAAGTAGCTTTTCTTGTAGACAAATTTTGACAATAAAAATGATGTCTCACACCCTCCATGTGTACTCTTCATTTTCAGGGCTTTCACTTTATCCACTTATTTTTCAGCAAATGTTTTTCTATGCACAATTTTCAACAATGAGAATGATGTCTCACATCCTCTATGTGTACTCTTCGTTTCTAGATTTTTCACATTGCTCTCTCTTCTTTTTTTTTCGAAATAAATGATTTCTCCTCACATGATCAATCAAATTTTTACATCAAGTAAATACTATCCATCAAGATCATGAAGTGAAAATCTGTAAAATCAAATCCATGTTATCTATCATGTATCCAAGGAGTATTCCAACATTTCATGCTACAAGATCATTCTTTTGACTCAATAATAATCTTCTTAGTATCTTTTGGTATCAATCAATCTAATTGATTTAATTTTTCATGCATGCAATAGATGTAAGGAATTTGTAAATTAGATAGTTTTGATGGTTCCGTTTTCTATTTTCAGTTCTATTTTTAGCTGTAATAAATTTGTCAAAAATAAATCAAAACTATCCTCTTTATAGTTGTAATTTCGAATTTCAGTAATATATATCTAGGGGATTGAAATGTGAGAAAAGGATCTTCTAGAATTTCAAATTTCAGGCTATTTTTTGTCTGCTATTTTTAATAGTCTGTTGTTTCTGATAAAAAACCAAAAAATAAATGTTGCAGTTTCTCCGAATTTTATTTTACTTTAATTTTTTTAGTTGCTGTTCTAAGTTGAATAAAATGCAAACACATGTTCTTAATCGTCCTACCGCATAAATTAATAATGAATACTTCACCCCCTAACATAAAAATGACATTGTCCTCAATGACATAGAAAAATTAAAACAGAATATAGAGAAAATATAATTTTCAAGTGAAACATGTACATCTGCAAAGTTAAGCATTAAAAATATTTTCATAAATGATGAAGCTCAGAAAGACATCACCTCAACCTCATTTTTAATTTTCCACTTCATCTTACACTCCTCCTGCATTTTTTTGAAAAAAAACAAATATAGAAACAAGTACTACAAAATTTTAAGAAAAATAGAGCTTAAAAAAAATTCAAACAGAATGAAATAAAAACCATGGGTTGCCTCCCATGCAGCACTGAATTTAATTTCTCTAGTTGGACTCCTTGATCTTACTCTTGAATTTCTTTTAATAATAAAATTTCTTTTTCTACAAGGCATTCATGTTCTATGTAATGTTTAAGCCGTTGTCTATTTACCTTAAAGTTATGATCACTTTTAAGATCTTTAATCATTACAGCCCCATGATCATATGTCTCTTCTACCACATAAGGCCCTTTCCATTTTGATTTTAATTTTCCTGAGAATAATTTCAACCTAGAATCATATAACTACACTTTTTGTCCAACATCAAATTTTTTTCTGCTAATATATTTATCAGGAAAAGTTTTAGTTTTTTCTTTATATATTCTATAATTTTCGTAAGCTTCATTCCTCTAGTTAATGTAGTTGAAAAATTCTATACCCACCAGCTGATTTCTCATCCATACATAAATTTTTTATAGCCCATAATACTTTATGCTCTATTTCTACAGGAAGATGACATGGTTTTCCAAAAATGAGATGAAATGGGGACGTACCTATGGGATTTTTATAAGCTGTCCTATCTGGTCTAACTATTTTTCTCAAAATTCTATGAATTTCCCTATTTGCTACTTCAGCTTGCCCATTTGTTTGAGGATGATATGGAGTGGCTACTCTTGGTGTACTCCATTCTTTTTCAATAGTTCCCTGAAATGTTTATTTGTAAAATGTGTTCCTCCATCACTAATAATCACTCTAGGACATCGAAATCTCGAAAAAATATTTTCCTGCACAAATTTTATCATGATTTTATGATCATTAGTTCTAGTAGGAATAGCTTCCACCCACTTCGACACATAATTAACAGGAAGCAAAATATATTCATATTTTTCAGCTGATGGGTAGGGACCTATGAAATCTATTCCCCATACATCAAAAATTTTGACTACTAATATGTTACTCATGGGCATTTCATCTTTTTTACTCATGTTACCTATAGATTGGCATGAAATACATGTTCTACTAAATTCTATAGAATCTCTACTAATTGTAAGCCAATAAAAACCACACTAAAAAAATTTTGTAGCTATTTTTCGTTCAGAGAAATATTCTCCACAGTTAGATGAATGGCACATGTTAATAATGCTATGATATTCTTCTTCAAGAACACATCTCCTTAAAATTTGATCATTGCCCAAGTAATATAAATCAGGATCATGCCAAAAATAATTTCTAATCTTAGAAAAGAAATGATGTTTTCTATTCTTATCCCACTGTTCTGGTGTTTTTTCAGAAACTAGAAAATTAACAATATGTGCATACCATGGTGATGGTTGATGTTGAGCTGCCATCAATTGTTCATCTAAAAATTCATCATGTAAAGGTGTTGCATTTGTTCTTGTATCACTTAATCTAGAAAGATGGTTAGCAACAACATTCTTGAAACCTTTTTTATCTTTTATCTCTAAGTCAAATTCCTACAACAATAAAATCCATCTTAAAAATGTGACTTTGCATCTTTCTTATTTAATAGATATTTTAATGCTGCATGATCAGTATAAATAATAATTTTAGCTTCCAAAATATATGATCTAAATCTTTCTAAGGAAAATACTACAGCTAACAACTCTGTTTCAATCGTGGTATAATTTAATTGAGCATCGGATATAGTTTTACTAGCATATGAAATTACTATGGGTTTTGACTCTTTTGTTTATCCTAGAACGGCCCTCACTGCATAATTCGATGCATCACACATTTTTTCAAAGGGAAGGAATCAATCAGGAGCTTGTAAAATGGCTGCCTCAATAAGTAATCTTTTTATTTTGAAAAAAGACTCAAAACATTTCTCATCAAAATTAAAAGACACATCTTTAGATAATAGTATGGTGAGAGGTTTAGAAATTTTTGAAAAATTCTGAATAAATTTTCTGTAACAATTTGCATGACCCAAGAAAGATCTAATCTATTTTACTGAATTTGGAGGTTTCATTTTAAATATAATATTAATTTTTGCTTTATCCACCTCTAAACCCCTTTCACTCACAATATGACCCAACACAACTCCCTCTTTAACTATAAAATGTGATTTCTCCTAACTCAAACTAATTTTTTCTCTATGCATTTCTCAAGTACATGCTGTAAATGATTTAAGCATTCATCAAATGATTCACCAAAAATAGAAAATCCATCCATAAAAATTTCCATATATTTTCCAATCATATCAAAAAAAATAGACAACATACATCTTTGAAATGTGGCTGGAGCATTACACAGACCAAAAGACATACGTTTAAAAGCAAAAGTACCAAATAGACAAGTGAAAGTTATTTTTTCTTGATCAAAAGGATTTATATAAATTTGATTATAACCAGAGTATCCATCCAGAAAACAAAAAAAGTTTTTTCTAGTTAATTTTTCTAGAATTTGATTAGTAAATGGTAGGGGAAAATGATCTTTCTAGTAACTGAATTTAATTTTCTATAATAAATACAAACTCTCCAACCGATAGTTAGTTTTGTTTGTATTTCATCCTCATTTTCGTTTTTTATAACTGTGATCCCTAATTTTTTTGGCACTACTTGTGTAGGACTAACCCATTTACTATCTGAAATAAGATAAATAATATCAGCAGCCAGCCACTTTAAAATTTCTTTTTTTTACAATTTCTATCATGTTAGGATTTAATCTTCGTTGGGGTTCCCTGCTAGTTCTAGCCCCCTCCTCTAGATATATACTATGCATGCATACACTCGTATCAATGCCCCTTAGATCGTTCATTTTCCAGCCCATAGCCTTCTTATTTTTTCAAAGTACATCTAATAATTCTTCTTCCTGTTCATCACTCAAATCAGTTATAATAATAACAAGAAATGAATTATTTTCATCTAAAAATATATATTTTAAACTAGAGAGAAGAGGTTTCAACTCTAAATTCAGATGATCTTCCTCTTTCTTTTCTTCTAAATTTATATTCTCTATTTCCTCTAATTCTTCCAGCACATAGTCATCAATAACATCTGGATCATCAAAATCATCTAGAAGATCTATAGTATGACAATCATATACTTAGGATTTCTTAAGATCATTTGATACCTCAAAATTTTAAATTTCTACTAATTGATCTCCACATGAAATTTTCGTAATACTTGTGGAAAAATCAATATTCATCTTTGTTGTATGTAAAAATAGTCTCCCTAGGATAATTGGTGTATCATAAAATTGTCCATTAAAATATATTTCCAACACTACAAAATCAGCTAGAAATTTACACCCTTTAACTGTCACTATCATATTTTCTAAAATACCTTTAGGATGTTTTATGGATCTATTAGCAAATTGTAAGATAACAATAGAAGATTTAAGATCAGAAATATTAAATTTATCACAAATACTTGCAAGTAATAAATTAATACTAGCACTGATGTCAAGTAATATATTCTAAAAAATGAATCCACCAATATCACACGAAATTAAAGGGGCACCTATATCTCTCAATTTATATGGTAATTAATTTAATAATAATACACTAGCATGCATAGATAATTTTTCTACTCTAGGTGCCCTTTTTGGTGTACACATTTCTTTCAAAATTCTAGCATATTCAGGAATATGTTCAATGACAGTGAGTAAAGGAAGACTAATTTGCACATCTTATAAAATTTTCTTTATTTCTTCATTGTGTTCCTTTTTCTTTCTTTGTCTAGGCTCTAGAGCTTTAGGAAATGGAATGGTTGTCCTCTCTTTCGAAATTTCTATGGTAGAATCTATAAAATCCTCTTCTACTCCTATTTGATTTTGTTTTGGGTTGTCCACGTTTTCTTTTTCTTCTAATGTTTGGGGATAAGGATCAAGTAAGATCTTACCACTCTTTAATGTATTCACTGTCCTAACATTTTCATTTCGTGAGTTTTTTCTTAGATTCATAATACTAGACTCCCCTTGCTGAAATCTTATTGTTGGGCGGTTCTTTAAATTTTCTATGGGCTGACTAGGTAGTTGTCCCTCTTCTCTCTTATTCTCAAGGGCCTCTTTAATTTATTTCTAGTGCTGCATCATTTGATTCATAGTTTGTTTCATCATTTAATTCATAGTTTATTGCATCATTTGGCTCATTTGCTGCATCATTTCCATAGTATCAGGTTGGGTTTGAGAGGATTGATTTTTTTGAAATCTATTTTCTTATTTTGGACAAAATTCAGAGTTTGAATTGGGTCTAAGTGCTTCTGGATTTTGAATATTACTTAAGTTTCTCCATGAAAAATTATTCCTCCAATTAGGATTATAAGAATTTGAAAAATGTTTCCTATTTCTATTAAAACCGTGAGTTACTTGCACTTGTTTTTGCATAGGGTGAAATGATTGATCTAAATTATAACATTGAAATTCAGAATAATCATTTTCACCATACATAGGAAATGTACTATTCGAATTAAGTTGAGGATGAAAAGGCTTCCTAATATTGTCAATAAGTAAATTAATTTTTTCTAATCTTTGATTAATCTGATTAACCTCATTTCTAAGTTTAGAATCATCATCATAATGCAATTCATAAATTCTTCTCTTCTTATCCCTGTCATATAATTCAAAAGAGGCTTGATCTCTAGAATTTTCACTTAAATTCTCATAAAGATTGTAAATCTCATCAAGAGTTTTCTCCATAAAAGCTACTCCACATATAGAATCAACCATATTTTTATATTGTTCTAATAATCCATCATAAAAAATTCTATTGAGTTGCCACTTGGGTATAGCATGATGAGGACACTTTCTAAGTAAATCTTTGAATTTTTTCTATGTCTTATACAAAGTTTCTCTTGATCTTTGAGAAAAACTCTATATATGTTTTCTTATATTTTGAGTTTTTCCTAAGAGATAAAATTTTTGAAGAAAGACTTGTTCTATATCTTTCCAACTAGTTAATTCTCTATATAATGTGGATAGCCAATGACTAGCTTTGTTCCTAAGTGTATGAGAGAATAATTTCATCTTAATAATTTTCGGTGTAACTTGAGAGAGATTAACTAAATCATAGACCATATGAAATTTTTCTAAGTGCTGATGAGGTTACTCTAAAGGCAATCCATGAAAATTAGGGAGCATTTGAAAAATTCATAGATTTATTTCGAATTTAACAGTGAGTGCTAATGGGACTCTAATATTGGATGCTCTTTGAAATGAATCAGAGATATAATGATTTTTCATGGCCATAAGATTGTTCTCAGTTTGACCTGTACTTCCTTCAGGATCCATCAAAATTAATTTTTCTTTCGAATTTTTATTTTTGAATGAAATAATGAAAGGATTTTCTAGCCTTGGATGCAAGGATCTTCTACCATACATAAAAATCAATAAATTCGAGGGAAAAAGTTAGTAACTGTTACCCTCCTTCAAGATGCTCCAGTCTTTGTCGTGCTTCTTTTTGTTCCCTTTTTCTAATAAAAATTGGCAAAAAGAAAATAAAACAAGAGTTAAGTTTTTTTGTGTACTCTAAGAGAAAAATAGAAAAATACTAAATATTATGCAATACATCCCCAGCAATAGTGCAAAATTTGACTAAATACATCTATGAGTGAAGAAGTGATAAAGATGTGAATAGAAAAAGTGAAGTCTAGATTGTTATTCCAAAGAGTGTTTAAACATTTAAGTGTCTGACATCATTATTAAATACTTGATATAAGAATCCAAAGTGTTTAAAGGTACATCATTTCTAATTGTATTTTTTTTTTGTATTCAAATATGATGTTTGAGATTTGTAAAATTTTATTTTCGTAATTCCATTGCTAAGGGACTAGCAATGATTTAAGTTGGGGGGTGTGATAAGTCTTCATTATCATGAGTTAATAATTAGTTAATAATTAGTAAATAATATAGTTTTAGTCTTAACTCGTGATAAATAGACTTATATTTGTGTTAAAGTATGATTTGTGGTTTTCAATTGATTAACGTGAATTTTTGGGTAATTATGTGATTTTATATGATTTTTATAGTCTTACTTTTGAGATAAATGAAGAACAAGAAATAAAAATAAAAATATTGCAAAATGGGGGGACCTGCCGGCTAGCCGGGCCCGCAAGCGGGTCAGAAGTGCAGTCGGGGAGTAGCCGCGAGCTGGGGCTCAAGCAACTTAGCTTGGACCGATAGGGGCACGTGGTCACCACTTCCCTTCCACGTCACCGGTGGCCAGCCGGTTGTCGGGCAAGGAGTGGTCGTACACATGAGAGAAGAGACTTTGCTCAGAAAGCTAACATTACTATATATTCGTCCAAAAAATCAGTGCACAACCAATGTGAGATTAAACCCGCGTCACACCTTCCTCAAAAGCGGGCGACCGGCGTGGGTTCGAATCCTCCCAGAGTCAAAATTCATATATTTTTATCTGATTATCGCAACTTTCTTACAGATCACTAGTGAAAGATTAAGCAACAAGAATCAGATAAAAATATATAAATTTTGACTCTAGGAGGATTCAAACCCACGCTGGTCGCCCGCCTCTGAGGAAGGTGTGACACGGTTTAGTCCCACATTAGTTGTGCGCCAATTTTTCAGATGAATATATAGTAATGTTAGCTTTTTGAGCAAAGTCCCTTCTCTCATGTGTACGACCACTTCTTGCCCCACAATCGGCTGGCCACTAGTGACATGGAAGGGGAGTGGCACACACGTGCCCCTATCGGTCCAAACTAAGCTGCTCGAGCCCCTGCTTGCAGCTACTCCCTGACTGCGCTTCCGACCCACTTGTGGGCCCAACTAGCCGACAGGTCCCCCCATTTTGTAATATTTTTATTTTTATTTCTTTTTCTTCATTTATCTTAAAAGTAAGATTGTAAAAATTGTATAAAATCACATAATTACCTAAAAATTCACGTTAATCAATTAAAAACTACAAATCATACTTTAACATAAATATAAGTCTATTTATCATGAGTTAAGGCTAAAACTATATTATTTACTAATTATTAACTCATGATAATGAAGACTTATCAAGGAGATTGAGAAGAAATCAATGCTAAAGAAAAAAAAGAAGAGTCCTCATGAAAAATAACCTCAACAGATGTTACATAGTGATGAGTATCAAGAAAATAGATCTGATAACCTCTTTGTATCTATGAGTAATCAACAAAGATTCTTTTGAGAACATAAGATGCCAGTTTAGAAAGAGAAAGAGAGTGGTCTTGAATGGAAGTAGTACATCTAAAGACACGAGAGGGTAAAAAAGAAAGAAACAATCGAGTGAAAGATGATGAAGTGGAATACCTTACCAAGTGGAGTGGAAGGAAGTCAATTATAGAGACATGTGGTTGTTAGAAGAGTGTCAAACTACATATAACGAGGAACATTCATCTCAATAAGTAGTGTGCAAATAATGTCAAGTAGTTGGTGATATTTTTATTTGACAGCACTATTTTGTTGGGATGTGTATGGACATGTTGTTTAAGAAAGAGTACCATGATCAGCACAAAATGTATTAAGTGAGTCATAGACCAACTCTAAAGTATTGCCGATGCAAAGAATCTTAGACATAGTAGAGTATTGAGTGATAATCTTGATAATGAAATGAATAATTATGGTGTGAACTTGGTTACAATCTTAGAGAAGATAGACTTAACTCATCTAAGTGTAATCATCCATGAATATAATATAATAGTGATGGTATAAGACAAATAAAGTACGACAAGGGCCCTAAATATCACAACAAATGAAGTCAAAGGGTGCTTAATAACTCACTAAATTATTATCACCACAAGTAGATCAAATTGAATAGTAGAGCATAAGGTATACACAAAAATAACACAAATACGTTAATACTTATATGTAATATAATGTTAGGTGATCAATGGTTGTCTTCTATTTTTATCTTTAAGAGTCTGACATGAATTTAATTTTATGACTCTTTCTTTAACACTTATATATTTGATTTTTAATATCCATAGTTGTTAGGGCAAATATGAAAAGTAGAAATGATGGATATATTAAGCAAAGGAGGGCACAACATTTGGGGGCACTTTCGATTTCCTTCCCCTTTCAACCCTAGGTGTAGTTCTCATCTTGAGCTACAATGTTAGTGATAGTGTCAGTGGATTCGAGTCCCCCATCTCACTGATTAGTGATAGTGTCAGTGGATTCAAGTCGAAAGTCACTCAAGGTCTTTGCACGAGAAGCCCTAGAGTAACGAAGCCATGAAGACCACCCTCGCTTGGCACAACAAGCCAAGGTCTATCAAGCTCTCCATCTGCGTGTGGCGTCATTCCTCCTCGGACATTAGATTAAGAGAGAGTAGCTAGAGGTTTATCTAGAAGTTTATTTCTATTTTCATTCTACTTCTTGCATTGTAAGAAAACTTTGATTTCAATTTAATACAAATGTTATTTTCGTGAGCCCTATGCCTCTTTCTAGTTCAGAGAGTTGATTCTATCAATTCGTCGAAGGATCAGATTTAATCTATAGCTTTTGTGATTCACAAAGATCATCAAGAGATAGAAATCATCATTGGCTGAATTCATCCCCCTTGACAAAGCATATAGTGAGCATCACCGCTAGAATTAATGAAGTGCTAATGTAGATGCCATGATTTCAAATCCTCCTTGAGTTTGACCTAGTTTTCCACTAATCTTCTAAAGAAAAAACTAACCTCTGAAAATCAGTTTATAAATGTAAAATTAATGATCTTAGTAACAATGATTTTTTATCAATCAATTTTTAGCACTATTGTCAAGGAGAATCTTTTTCAAAATTGTCAACTTACATGAGTGAAGATTAATTTCAAATTTTAAATTGAGTTGAATTTTATTACTCTTTGTTAGTCTATCAATAATAATAATAATAATAATAATAATAATAATATATAACTATGCATAGTACTGCATTTCATTTTGATTTTGAGCGGGCATCAATTTTGTTAGGTCCTAGTTGTTCTATAGTTGATTTATTAGCACTATCTTTTACTGAATTAATATAGCATACAACAAGTTAATTTTTACCCAAATGTTTATTGAACATGTTGTCTATCTCTAGTACTTTCATACAAATTCTACAATATACTGATTATCTGAAAATATAGATGGAATAAGAAGCCTTAAACATGCCGCTATAGCAGCTGTAGGAGAGAGGACAGAGTTTTGGGGAGAAAATGAACAAGAGTTTCATCCCACCAACTTAGGGAACCAAGATATGCCACAAAATTTAGAAAATTTTTACACCTATAGACCTATGTGTGGCCATTACATAACAAATTTATATCGACCATCATCACAAATTAGAATATTGTTAGCACATGATGTGTAGTTTGATATCAATCATGGCATGATTCAAATGCTTTCCACATTTCGTGGCTTATCAAATGAAGAGCCGCATCAGCACATAGAAAAATTCTTATCTGCTTGTGATCTGGTGCATTTTTCCAATATCTCATAGGAGGCTGTTTGAATGAAGTTATTTCTTTTTTCCTTACATGACAAAGCTCGAGATTGGCTGATTTCATTAAATCAAGAGTTGACTTATTGGCAAGAGATCGAGCAAGTTTTTCTACGTAAATTGATTTCCATGAGGAAATCAATTTTGAATTTTACATAGAAACCAAAGGAAACCTTTCATGAAGCATGAAAAAGGTTTAATGACATGTTGAAGAAATGCCCTCATCATGGGATGGCTAAATAGTAAATTAATTGAATCTTTTATGACAGAATTTTAGAACGAAATAAAAATTTAGTTGATGCAACTTGTAATGGGGCATTTATGAGCAAGGTTGAGGAAGAGATGTATCAATTGTATGAAACACTTAGTGAAAATTCTGCTAATAAAGAATCCTTGATGATTGTAGCATAGAATTGACCATTTGTTTCTACAACATGTGTGCTCAATGTTATCATATCTCATGAGAATAAGGCCTAGCCAATTGATCTCTTATCTATCTATCTTCAAGAATCACATATAGTTTTATATTACATACATACTTTAAGAATGTGCATTTTCTAGATGTAAATATGTATACATATAGGTATATTTTTTATTTTTGATACATCAAAGTTGTGTGTGTGTGTGGGAGAGAGAGAGAGAGTATGAATTTACCAAATTTCTGAACATTTTTTACCCTCTTCTCATAATTCTGTAAAAAAAAGGCATGGATTAGAAATATTTTAATTATCAAATATTTGAATAATATGAGTTCAAAATGTCAAAAATAAATATATAGAAATCCTGTGAAGAGTGGTGGACAATCACAGACTAAATTATTGCATAAATATCCTGCAAAGCCTAATGTGTTTTCTCAAGAAGTGATTCAGGTGGCTTACATTCGGAAGCAATACCAAACGCATGGAAACCTGGTCAGGGGATTCTAGCAGATGATAACTAAGGCTTACTCCTTAATGGGTCTACTCTTACCTGATGGTCTCACCGACCCATTAATTGGACTTGGTCAAAGTCAACTTTCTATAATGCTCTAGTGGATCATCCCCCCTAATGGGCCATAATTAGTGGGCTTCAATAATCCTCTGCTTTTCTCCATATCTAATGAGCCGGCCCATTTTTTCCCAATCAACCCACTTAGGCATTTCCTCCTATTATAAAGAGGAGTTTTCGGCCGCTAGCAGCGGTGGTGGAGAAGAGAGGCGGAGGAAGAGGAGAGCATTCTCGTTCGGAGTAGGGTGGCGGTGGTTCTCCTCGCCGCCATGGAGTTTTGCCCGACGTGCGCGATGCTGCTGCAGTACGAGCCGGCGAGGTCCGGGAAGAAGTCGAGGCTCTTCTGCCCTACCTGCCCCTACGTCTACCCCATCAACGCTAAGGTAATCGACGGCGGTCTTCCCTCACTCGCCAAGCACCGCCGGTTCGTCCATCCTCCTCGTTGTCGACGGTTCCTGATTCCCATCTTGGATTGTGGTTTCAGATCGTGAAGAAGCAGAGGTTGCCTAAGAAGAAGGAGGTGGAGGCCATCTTCAGCTGGGAGGAGGCGATGAGATCCGCTCCCAAGACTCAGGGTGAGAAATCCAGAACCCTATTCCTGTCTGCCCTCACCGTCCGTGAAATCTCAGTTGTTCGGACAACCATTGGATGATCCTCGATCGACTAAACCCTGGATGCTAATCTCCTGATCATCAGATTTTATCCGTTTAAATACCCGAAAATGGAGATACCAGTGGTTGCCAGAAATAGGAAGCCGTGGATATATAATGTAGTGAACAAGACTGCTTCTCTGATGATGCACTCATCCTGGAGTGTCCTGAGCTTGACAGAAAAAATATCTTCTGCGAATTCTGATACATCTCATAATGTTTGCTCGTTATGCTGAGAAGAATATGAATGTGTTCTAATTATAGCTTCAGAAGCCTATTGAGTTGGAAATGGGGAGAAAGCGTATTTCGCAGAGAGTGGATTTAAGCGATAAACCCCTTTCTGCCTCAAGATTTTTTTTGCCCTTTTGAGGAAATCCTTGCCTTATTCCTTCCATGATAGAGGAACGTGGAGAAGAATCATGAGTAACAGTCCCAGAGTTGCGGAGCCACTTTAAAGCCTGACCTGACCCAACCAGTCACCTCTTTCCGCGGGTGAAAACACAATGTTGAGGAAAGGTGGTGATTTTATCTCTGGGCTCTTGCAGGAGACCATCCGCGACCGAAATCATTGCTGAACGCCTTAGTTATGCGTGCTCATGTAAAAACCAGCCTCTTGATTATAAAGGTTGAGCATTATCGAAGTTTGTTTAATGGCTTCCCAAAACGAATATGAACTTATTGGACATCTATGCTCCGACTTGGAATGCTTCACACTGAAAAATACATGCTAATGGAAAATCCTAATAGCTCTCTGCTTGTTCTGGTAAACATAAAAACCCTGGAGCTTCTGTACTGTGACAGGAATTGTATTTTCTGGATTGATATAAATTATGATTCTCTTAAGAATCCAAGAGACAAAGCAGGTGTTTAATGGGTGTTCTTCACTATGTTGTCTCTCCATGCAGTGACATGTCCGAGGTGCCAAGGTGGAGAAGCATACTTCAGACAGATGCAAATCCGATCTGCTGATGAGCCGATGACCACTTTCTACATGTGCTGTAACGCTGGCTGCCGATACGAGTGGCGGGAGGACTGATGGGCCTTCTTCACCAGGCAAGCCCAAGTCCAAAAGCCTCTTCTTTGGTATCTCTATACGAAACGTCAGCGTGGAGATTTGAGGAGCCGGGTGCCAATTTTCCTTTCATATTCTTTACTAATGTGTAATTTTTCTCTGTATATCGTTTTTTTAAATAGATTGATTGATTTCATTTCACAAGATAAAGTGGGTTGGGCGTCAGATATTTTATGAATATATTTTCCTTTTTTGTCTTTTTTTGGAATGTATTTATTTGCCCACAAGTGTTGGAAAGAGACAGAGGAAGGATCTTCGTTGGTATGAAGCCCCGTGACTGTGACAGCCCTATTTATTACGAGGTGGGGGTTATAATAATATATTTATAATATTATAACTCGGAGAAATTCAGTTATAAAAATATTGTTTTCATTTTTTATAAGATCAGAAAGTTTTCATTTTTTTCTCGAAAGCACCCAGGAATCTGAGGCCGGTGCATTCCAGTGGGTGCTCCAGATGTTCCCTACCATCTGAATCCACTCTTATCTGATTCGTGATTTTATTAAAAGATTAAACCCACTGTTATTATTTTATTATTATTCTATTGTGTAATATTGATAATTCTCGTACAAAAATGGCTCTTGCGGCTCGATGAGCGTAAGATCAACCCAATTAAGAACAAACATAATGATGGGCTGACATAAGTCTGGTAGTTTTTTTGTGAAAATATTTTAATATTGGATAAGTTTACATAAGAATAATATGAATTGATAGTACTATTTATCTTTATCTCTTACCCGATTCAAGTGTCCTGGGAAGCCACGGCCGGGAAGCCAATTCTTCTGATTTTCCTTCATCTTATTTAACATCGATTTAATGTCGAATTATTAGTTTTTACAAAAAAGGAATATCTATTTATTGATATTTTCTGAAATTTAAGGTCAACGGCTTTGTTGCTGAGCAGAAAATTGACAGCCCTGTCATTCTGTGAATACACAGAATGGCGTAGAAAGAACAATGGAGATGTGGAGTCTGATGCTCTCAGGGGACAAAGTTTGCAGGGAAGCAGGGGGATCTCCTCCAGGAGTCCAGATTGATGGCGAGGATCTCCTTGGCCTTCTCCCTCGTCTTGCTGTTCCCCTCCTGCTGCCTCGCCAGCGCCACGAGCTTCTCCGTGGCCCCCACCGCCGCCATCTCCTCCACCAGCGCTCTCCCCCCGCAGGACCTGCAGAGGAGCAGCAGGATCCGCACCGCCTTCCCGTCGGCGGCGGCGGAGCCGGACAGGAGCTTCCCGGCCACGGCGGCGACGCCGGCGGCGTGGCTCACCAGCGCCGCCCTGCCCTCTGCCCGCCGGGACAGCTGCTCCAGCAGGGCCAGCATGGCCTCGCACTTCCTCCCCTCCCCCTTCTCCTCCGCCAGCAGCTCCACCAGCGCCGCCACCGCGCCGCTCTCCACCGCCTTGACGCGGTTCCTCCCGTGTGGCGCCACCTCCGCGAGGACCGACAGCGCCGCCACGGATGCTGCGCGGTCGCAGTTCTGGTCTTTCAGGATCTCCACGGCGCCGTCGAAGAGGTCGGCCTGGAGGTCCGCCTTGAAGTTGCCGTCCACCGCCATGAAAATGGTTCTGAGGAGGAGGATGGAGTGAACCCGCGCCTGGTATGAACCCCTCTGTAAGATCGACGAGAGCGATCTTATCAGTTCGCCGTTTCTGATTTCCGAGAGCTTCTTGAGGATCGCCGCCGGCGGGCTCATTAGGTAGAGCAAGGAGGTAGCCTCGTCGGAAATGGCGACGGCGTTGTTGAGGAGGGATCCGCAGCCTTCCGGCGGCGGAGGTTTCGTCACCAGCTGGGAGACGAGGGAGGTGACGCCGGTCTCCTCCATGAAGTCCCTGTACTCGCCATTTTCCTGCACCAGCTCCTTGATCCTCCTCATGGCACTGAGCTGCCCCTCCGGCCTCCTCAACTCGCCGGCCAGAGCGAGGATTGCCGAGACGTCGACGACAGCTCTCGGCGGAGCCGCCGCTAGCGGGAGCCGGTGGGTGGTCGCGGCCTTCGCCGCCGCCCAGGAGTGGATGAGGCGGAGGAGGGTGGTGTTCGGCGTGAGCGTCTTGTCGGCTATCGGCTGGTTGGTGACGGGGCACGTCGCTTGCCTGTACGCCGACAGCCACCGGCTTATGCTCTCCCGGTCGTAACTCACGCCGGTGCACAGGGTGACGGGATCCTCCATGACCTGCAGCGATATCGGGCAAACGAAGAAGGGCGGTATCTCAGAGCCGTCCATAGTCTCTCTCTCTCTCTCTCTCTCTCTCTCTCTCTCTCTCTCTCTCTCCTCTGTCTGTCTTTCTTGTTGGGAAGGGCTGTTGATAAAGGGGGCAATGGAGGGGGAAGGGGGAGGGGGGGCAGAGAAGATGAGTTGGGAGGGAAGAGGTCAAAGGGGGGGAAGAAGTGGGGAAATCGACCGTTGTGGTAGCGGAGAAGCTTAGCCAGGATCAGCCACCTGTCTTTCATCGGTCTCTTGAGGCGAAGTCGGTGGAGACGCGTTTCGTCTGACGCGTGATCCCCATCTATCTACCGAAGGACCCAAAACTAGCGTGAATTGTACGTTTATTATTTTCAGCCCCTACATAAAACTTGTTTTAATAAACTGAGTCCAATTGTGATGTACCTAAGAGCGCAGAAATAATAATAAGATATTCTCAAAGTCATTGTCTAATTGTGACCGTATGACTAAAATAAGTATAATAATTTTAATTATAATTATCAGCCTGTTATAAATTGATCTTTAGCCTTGACTCGTCCAATTTTCATAATAAATTGGATTAATTTATCTTGAGTTTACTTTTTGTATATACATTGAACTTACTACCTGTATATGAGATGGTCAATAAGTATTGTCTAGAGTGCTCTGTTTTTGGTGTTTGTGTCATAAGTGAACTAGATTGACTTCCATGGCACTTATCAAGGATATATATGATTTTATGATAGTGTTTGACGAAAGGCTGCATCTTGTTATGTTCCTATTTCACCATCACCCACATGATGTATCAAAATCTCTCTCTCTCTCTCTCTCTCTCTCTCTCTCTCTCTCTCTCTCTCTCTCTCTCTCTCTCTCTCTCTCTCTCTCTCTCTCTTGTTTTTTGTGTGTGAATATGAAAGTCCAGCAAAGCACATTGCATCATGTGTACCCACATCTCAACATCTTGAGTGTGACCCTTATTTATGACTCATTGTCTAAAGTCAACTATAAGAATAGGGAGTTGAAATTCAAAGTTAGCGTATCATCGAGGGTAGCTCTAAAAAATGTTTTAAAAAATATTAATTAAATTAATAATCCACAAAACCTGTTGGTTGTGCTCTCCAACACCTAAAGATGTAAGACAATTACTGCCATATTCCCCCTTTCTCAGTTTCAAAATCCAAAAAAGATGTGACAATCTTCTTCAAGATCCCACAAGGCAACTAAGTTTTTGTTAAACCTCAATTTTTATACCATATTGTTATGATTGAACCTTGGTTTCTATGCATCATTGATACTTAATGTGTGCATGGCGTCATATGCACTTGCAAAGCATTGACTTCCACACTTGCAATCTCAATCTTTTGCTCATGTTAATGCAGAAACATCCATTGATAGATAGATAAATAGAGAAAGTTTCTAGTGACAGGGGATGTCTTCTAGGACAAATAGTGAATAGACTTAATTGTGTTTATCACTGGATATTGACTCTAATTTTATAATTTTTAATCTTCAAAATTAAGTATGTGGACATTTTAGAATTTTAGTTAAAACAAGATTCAACTTATTGATACTTAGTAGACCATTGAGAATAGAATTCAAATAGGTAATATAATTGAGCAAATTAGAATAACTAAGTTCAAATGTTATAATTGTGGTGTAGAAAACAACATAAGAGAATTTTGCATACAAATTTTAGAATGGTTTGGACCCCAACCTACATCCAATATCATAAGAGTCATACTCTTTGAGTCCCTTAATCTTGTACAAAGATTATATCTAGATATTCATTTCTTAAGGAGCTAGATAATGTTTTGGGTTTTTAGCTATTTTGTTGTTCATGAAATAAGTAATCAAATTACTATATAGGCAATCATTATACTATAATATTTACTAGCTTTGACCAACCAAATAATAAGTTGTGGACACTCATCCATCACCATTATTAGCACCAAATACCAAATAACGACCACATCATCAATCCTCTACCAATTTTAATAGCTCTCCCCAACCAAATAACTCAAGGTGTTTGTGAAAAATTGATTGCAAATGCCCTTGGTTTTGATAATTTTAAATAAAAATTTATTAATAATTTATTATTAAATACTAGTATATTTTTATGTCTTATTTATATACTTCAAATATTTAATATATTCAATAAAATTATTAAAACTGATACAAGATGAAAGCTTACTGATGTGACTCAGTCGTTGTATATTAAATCATGTAAATTTCAAATTTATAAAACTAGAAAATATAAATTTTTAGATATTTAAAAGTATTTCTGAATAAATATATCAATTATAATTCAATAAAACTTTCAAAAATAGCGATAATTTTCCAAGTCGACCACAAGGATGTAATATAATATCTGGTAATTATTTAGAATTTTCCTTAAAGAATACTATTTTCTATGAATTTTATTCTACTAAATAAAAAGGAAATATATTTAAAATTCATGAAAAAGGGAAATAAGGGTGCGGACGTCAAGATGACATCAGCACCCAGCAAATGAGAATCAAACAAAAATAGAGTTCTACCTGGCAATTCTTATGTAAGTGATTACAAATGATTTAATTAATTAAATTAAAATTTGTAAAAGTCGAAAGAATTGTAATTGAATGAAGTATATTTTGGTAAATTAAAATCACACAAATTATCATTAAATGAAGCGTAAAGTAAGTTGAAAGTAGAAAAACAAAATTCCGGCATCGCGACAGTGATGCGTCGGCAATGCACCAGAATCCTGAGCATTCGAGAGGATCATCATATAATGTCCATAGCCTCGAAAGCTCTCCTTGGAAAAAGACGACATGGGCAATCTCTAGATCTTCTTGTGAAGTCTAGAGATTAATGAAATAGGTCGTTGAATCATCTCCGACGGCTGTCTCCTGGTGGAGTGAAAAAATGGTGACTTTGTGGCTCTCCAACGGCTGCCACCCGACAGAGAGGAACTAGATGGAGGTGGGGTGCGTGTAAAGAGCTTCATCCTCAGATCTGCACAGTAAGAGGAAGCTCTTCATCCCATTTGGTATTCTCTCATGAGGTGGCGACTCATCTCTTAACGGATCGTCCTCTTCCTGATGACGGCTTGTTCATCGATCAATCGGAGATGATTTACTCGATGGATTCACGATCTTTTTCTCACGAATCGTTCAGCAATTTTAGTAACAATGCTCCGCAAATTGTGTTGACGAGATTTTCATTGATGATCTAGTAATTTTGGTTGCTTAATCTTGTACCGGCGATCTGTAGAAAAGTTACGATAATCAGATAAAAAAATATGAGTTTTGGCTCTAGGAGGATTTGATTCCGCACTAGTTGCCCGTCCTTTCCAGGAAGATGACGTGGGTTTAATCCCACATCGCTTGTGCGCCGAATGTTTAGACGAATGTATAATAATGTTACATTTGAAGGCAACTCCCTTTCTAGTGCATGTATGACCACTCTTTGCCCCACAACCGACTAACCACTAGTGACGTGGAAAGGGAGTGGCGCACATATGCCCCTATCAGTTCAAGCCACTCAAGCCCCTACTCGTGGCTACTTCCCGACTGAGCTTCCGACCTGCTTACGGGCCTGCCTAGCCGGCGAGTCCCCCTCATTTTGTCTTATTTTTATTTTTTATTACTTTTTCTTCATTTATCTCAAAAGTAAGATTGTAAAAATCATATAAATTTATGTAAAATCACATAATTATCCAAAATTTCACATTAATCAATTGAAAACCACTTTTCACACTTTAGTATAAATATAAATATATTTATCATGAGTTAAGACTAAAACTATATTATTTACTAATTATTAACTCATGATAATGAAGACTTATCACTTACCTATATGGAAGAATATTTATTGATCAAAAACTAGATGAACATATGAAGATTCAATGCTCATCATCAACCTCTCATACTGCACACATCAACAATACACAAGAATATTACATCATCTTTACTAGTTCATTTTGACAAATGCTCTCTATCAGACCTTACTGTAATTGGGTGATGAGGGAAGAATATATTGGGTAAAGGTACAAGATGATAATAGTGGTATTTGGGCCAAGAAAAACTATCTCAAAGGGGACAAACTTATGTGATTTGAATGTTTGACCATGTGAATATCAATATTTATTCAAGAGGGAATAAGTGAATATGTGAGGGTAGTTTCTTCTAGGACTGGAAGTAGTTAGGCTGGAGGATAATCAATATAAAAAATGTAATGTTCTTGGTGAGAGAGTATTTAGTGGTCTTACCATGATGCATGTGTCAACACATCTATCAACACATATAGACAGGTCTAGGGCTTATGTTCTTCATGTAGCATTCAGACTGAATGACTCTATGAAATTATGTCAATACTTCAACATATTATGGGTAACATAGGAGACATCTCTATTTTTCCCAGGGGGATCCTTATAATTATCACTGCTTAACTTTCAATTTGCCTCTGACCATCAAATTAAATATGAATAGCCCATCTTCCTCTCCTTGAAACAAGAGGCACTTTCTAGTTCTGTCTATGCTTCAATAGCATAAATCTAAAAAATAAGTAAATATCTCAAATGCCCCAATTCACCCTTCCTCCTGTTTGTATTTCACCTAGTCTTATAATTCCAACACATGTCTTGAGACTAATTTAATTTAATTATTTAATGATCCATAAATACTATAAATTATGTGATAATATAATATATTAAACCTTAATTTTTGCACCATATTTTCATCATTAAACCTTGGTTTCCATACATTTTTTATACTTATGTGCACATTGTTATGTACACTTAAAAAATACTAACTTCCACACATGCATTGTCAATCTTTGGCTTATGTCGATAATCCAAAATCTAGTGATAGACAGATAAATAGAAAGGTTAAAAGTTTCCAATTATAGTAATGAAATATAAGAGTAAGAGAGAAAACACTTAATTTTATATTTCACTAGATAATGACTTTAATTTGATAAGTATTAATCTTTAGAATTAAACCTATAATATGATTTTTGACTTTATGTTGTGGAATTAAAATACAATTTATTAATAATTAGTA